CCAAAAAAAGGTGACAGTAAAATTACTTTTTTCCAATCACTTACACAATGCAGAACGAGTTTTGTAAAGTAATATTTGTGCTTCTCACTCTTTCTAGGACATGTTAAAAAGGCGAAAAAAGATCTTGGATTAGAAGGTAACTTTTAGTTAACAAACATAAATCGATAGCTAGCAGCTGCAATAATAACTGATTTTTATCTTAATTTCCAATTCATCTGTTATTTATTTTATTTGTTAGTTTATTGATAAATCAATCATTTTATTTATAATATATAAACATTTCTGAAATGTTCCTAAAACCGGTTGACATCTTCAAATATTGTTGCTTCTTTTTTGTGATAACATTTAAAAAGGACAAATTCTTCAGTTAACAGTAGAATACAAAAACAGCAAATAAGAGGGACTTTAAATATTAAAGAAGAATCTCTTGTAACCACAAAAGAGATGAAGATACGGTCCACAATACTACAATAACTGAGCTGCATTAAAATAGTCAATGGGAAAAATACTTAAAGTAAGGGGTAATTAAATAAAAGATAAATATGTTATTTAACACAAGCAGCTGTTTTATTGACTTTGATTTACATTTTTATTGAAACTGAAATGACAAAACAAGAGGAGACAACCAATAAAGGTGACAGTAAAACAAGTTATCATATTAACTTCCACATTGCAGAAAGAGTTTTATAAAGTGATGAATATTCTTCTCACTCTTTCTAAGATATGTAGAAAGCGTGAAAAAACACTACAAATTAAAGGGGCAACATAATAAAATAAAGCAACATACAGTATGTACAGAACCATTTTTCTACAGTACAGCAGAGTAGCGTCCGTGCAACTCTGGATGAAAAACTCAAGTTAGGGTTCTATTTTAGGATGAAGCAGTTTCATTAACTGATTCATCCATCAGCACTTTAAGAAAGTTTTAAAAATCTGTTTATAACAGCCTAGTACTGTACCCAATGAGCATTATGGTTTTTACTACTTACGTTTAACGTGCTCCTGTGTAGCTTTGAATTGTGTATCTTTTATTTCTGTATTATGTCTTTCATCCTGTACTGTTTGTTCTTGTGTTAGTCTTGTTATCACCTGTCAAAGAACTACAGAAGTGTTCATTGGGTACAGTACATCAAATGGTGACGTCTATGTTCAAACTCTAGATGGTCCCTGTAGTAAATATTAATCTTAACAATGATCTTGAAACAAGTAAATAAAGTGTTATTCCATTGCTCATGGAGAAGAGATTGTCCTCAATCAATGAGTAAGAATTTTTAAATACATCCGTGGGTCACTTGAGAAACGACTTGCAGCTCTCCTCAATTTTTTTATTCATAGTCTTATAGAAAGACTGATTCATTTTGAAACCAGTGAACTTTGATCCTCTAGCAAATTCTTAGCACTCATGTGCAGTTCTTCCACTTTTTAAAACCTGTTTTTCTGTGATTTTCAGAGCCAGTGAAGGAAGCAGAAGCTCAGTCGACTCCTCTTGTTGAAGTTCCCCCGGCTGCTCAGGCACTTTCTCCTTTGACCAAAATCTCTCTGAATACGGCCCCTAAAGACCCGGCTGAACAAAAGGATGTCGCCAACTCAGGTCGGGTGACCGGAAAATCTTCCAAGAATGAAGTTGGAGAGTCCGACTCAGCAGGAGAAGGGAAAAGAAATAAATCCGACGACTCTGGCGAAGACAAAGCGATGTGTAACGCTCCTGAGCAGAGAGGTTCAAGGACGTCATTAGAGCCAGAAGAATATAACACAAGCAAAGAGAGTGAGAAGGTAAATGTCAAACTTGTTCCTAAGGGTGAAGATAAAAGTAAAACAAATGCAGGAGACCATGAAGAAATAGACACACAGCAGCATCTGTATTCAGCAAACTCTGAGCAAACTCAGAGCCCAAGAACCAAACCAGACCACAGCAAACCTGATGCTGGTCCAGAGTCCTCAGACACTAAACCAGCACAACCAGACGAAGAAGAAGAGCACGAGACCTCCACTGACTCACAGGACACGGAGGGACAGTCAGATGAAGGCGAGGACAAAACTGTTGAAGATAGAAATGAGGCCTAGTGTGGCTCTAAGGGAGAAAGGCAATGGCAGATGCAGGGAGGATAAAGCATGACAAAAGGAACATGAAGGTGTGTCGTTGGCTTTTATGCAACTTGGAGAACATGGTGAGATTTACGAAGGAAGCGGATGGTGAAAGTGAAGCTTTAAATAAAACAGGGCAAGAATAAGTCAACTCAACACAAATACGGTCATTGAAACCAGCAAAACAAGAATTTAAACTAGAAGGCTGAAAACACACACAGAGCAGAGATCACATCTTTACACGAAGCCACAGAGAGTCTCAGCTCAGAGTGAGATGAACCTGAAAGGAAGCGACGAGGACCAGAAACTCCAACAAGAAAAGGATTGTTTCTACTTTTTCTGTAAGATTTTTAAATAATATTCATGGTACTGTATATGCCTGAATAATAGCTCAAATGTTTGTTATGTTTTCATACTGAACTAAGCAATTACAAATATGAATGTATGTCTAACTTATCAAATTAAAAGCATTAGTCTGTCATTTTGTGACCTTATCAAAAGGAAGGCTTTTTTAAATTTATATTTCAGTTCTCCAATATTACAAACAGGACCTTCACATCGGGACAGGAAGAACTAGATCTATTGTAAGCCGAGTTTTCCTCCAGTGAACTTTTTTAATAAACAAAATGCCCTCTGGTGATTCTGTATTCACACGACAATATACAAGGAACACACTTTTCTATCTACAATCGAAGTAATGGATCATTATGACATGTATGTTCTCCTGTGTATTTTAAAATGTTGTATGCTCTCCTTTATTTTGGATTAACACCAGATTGTTTATGTTAATACATTGCAGATATATTATTTGAAATATTCTCCATGCATAACCTTTTTTTTTGGTTCATCTTTAGTTTTATGTGATTCCTGTGAATGACACTACAGCTGTAACGCTTTTATATTTTCTTTTTCTTGCAGCATTGTTTGCTGATGATGGATGTTTTGAAAATGTTTTATTGCACTCATTTATATGAGAAATTCTAGTGTGAGCAGCCATGGGCGTAACCATGGTTTAGACATAGGGGGGGTGGCTTTCATGGTGCTTTTCGTGTGGCTTTGCTTCGCCGGCCGCGCTGCCCCGCTGAGCGAAGCGAGGAGCACTCAGAGAGACGCTGAGGCCCGTCGGTCCCGGTGCGTTTTTCTTGACAAACGGAAATAAATTGAAAAAAAATAAGACATAACAAGAGACCGATCCATTGACACGCTTCCTAAAAGGAGAACGTATGTTTTACATATTTTCTGCTATATATTGTGTGAAACAGATAGGTATTTTCTCAATATTGTGGGTACACGACCCCCCCAAAGAATGCGTGGTTACGCCCGTGTGAGCAGCTTATTTCCAGTTTCTTGTCCTTTTGTTAGACGATGAAAACAGATCATTTCCCAGAAAATATTGCAGATTGATTGCTAAACTGAAATGAAATAAAAGAGAATATTACAGACTGATGTTTTTGACAGCATTGAAAGGGCAAATCTGTAACCAATGCACAAAGAAACACTGACACTGATATCTGTAGGAGATGTAAGAATGTGTTGTATCAGCAGGGGACAGCGTTTATTTGCTCTTACTCGTCGTCATGAACTGATTAGACATCAGAAATAAGTTTTTATAACCCTCTTAGCATTGAAACGCTTGGAGAACATTCTCAGCTATAAAGGAAAGTATAAGTAATACACAGTTGACAAATATCCTGGTTAGTTGTGGCCCGACAGGAATTAATTGTTGCAGTTCTGCATAATTAAAGGTGAATTTAGTGAAAAGCTGCCACAGGTGCATGATTAGTTTAACCTCTGAGTCACATTGAAGTCTGTGATCGGCTACCACCTGACCTGTGGGTTCACGGCACAAGCAGAGAATGAACACTATCATATTTCTGTGGTCATAAGTATTGAATTATCTGTAGGGATCGAAGGCTCTGCCTCCTCTGACGGTGAAGCCTGTTGAACTCACCCGTATGTAACAATCTGTGGACTTTACCCTGTCGAGAAGGAAGGTGGTCCACCTGATTCACCCGTTTCACCTGAATCATTAACACCTGCTACCAAGAGAAAGTAAATGTAAAACGCGGCTGCATAAGATCTTTTTGTGCATTTTCCCAGAAATGGCTGCCTGGTATTTTCTCATCTATTTCCTCGCCATTCCCTCGTGTCTGGGTGAGTTTACGTGTCGGTTAAAGTTAACATTTATACTTTTGGGTTCGAAATGAAAAGTAGTTTTCAGTGTTGTGACTTGTTCTGGTATAAATATAATATCCTTCTGAAAACAATCCACTTGGAATGCAGTGATAGTCTGAGCACCAGGAGAATACCTGATACACGTAATCCTTTGACTACACACCTGTGCTGTAAAATGATCATTACGGTGGCTGCAGTTTGTGTGCTTTTATGTTGGATTGAATTATTGGTTTGACCGACAAGGAAATGGCTCAGATTGCATTGTGTTATTTTAGTTATGTCGCGACGTGACGCTACATTGAGCTGAATTGTAATCTGTTAATCGTGGTCCTTGTTCTTTCTTTACATTATATTACATGTCATTTATCTGACGCTTTTATACAAAGCAATTTATATTTCATTATATTTTTAACCAAGCCGTAAGGGCGCAGTTAAGAGTTGGGTGTCTTTCCGTTTATTGCAAAGAAAAGCAAGAAAGTCACGATTGAGAAGCCGGAACAAGAGAATATTTCACAATGTTGCTCAAAGACAACCACAATCAATCAACAGAAATATTTTGAATCTCCTTTTTTTCTTTAAAACAAATCCCTTTGTCTTTAAATGAGTGATCACGGTGATAACAAAATGCACCATTAACATGTATTCATGTTAGAGAATATTAGAAAGAGCTCTTCATGATGCTCTGCAGTACAACACTAACAGTGACGACTCTCAGAGGTGATCGTAAATTTAAATCAACACCTTTTCAACACAGTGTGAGCAAATACTGAACATTTAGGATTGAAACAAATAGGATTCATCGCTGATTTATTTGTATTGGATTATATTAGATTGTACAGATGTTCACCTATTAACTCAGTGTCCAGGTCAGTTGGGTTTCCATCACACACTTCAATGTTACAAATAATGCTGCATGTTTCTATATGTCTCTGTTCTCTGTGTCTAGTTTCTGGACAGTCTCCTACATTTGGTCTCAAAGGGGGAAAAGTCTTCTTGAAGCCAGACATCACTGGACATCCTGATGGAATTCGGTGGAAATTTAAAGGCAACACAGTGGTAGAGTTTGAAGCCCAAGTGCAACAGGTGTTCAGGCCATATCAAAACAGGATCACTCTCAACTGGGTCACCGCAGAACTCAATATCGCTGACCTCAGATTGGAAGACAGCGGAGACTACGAACTGGAAGTAGAGATCAATAACGCGTTGCATACTTCTTACTATGCACTGGAGGTCATGGGTACGTTTGCAAAAGCAAAGTGGTTAAAAGCAGTTAACTGATAACAAAAGGTACCTGCATTATACAACTAGAAACCTGTTGCTACAGCAACCGCATGCCGTTAAATGGCTTGAAGACCCAACGAACAGAAAAAACGGATCACTTTTTTTACAACTTCTCTTTGACACTGATCAACAGAAAACAATAAAACAGTTCCATGCCTGCAATGAAAGACACTGTGAATGTAACAAATGGGCAGGCTGACTTTTCCAGTAAGTAAGGCAAGGAAAGTTTATTTCTATGGGACATTTTAACAGCCAAAAAAGTCAATTATTTACCTGTGGGTTGCAACTATATGTTTTCCACAATCTAGATATTTTTGAAGGGATTTGTTTTCACATTTAAGAGTCAATCGTTTCTGTTGGTCAATCTGAGAAAAGATTTTTTATCACTAGTATGAAACAATAAGGAGTGTGGGCAATATTTAAACCTTTTATAATGTTTCATTTTTTTAAATGTGTACAGTACCAGTCAGGTTTGGACCCATTTTCTCATTGAATTGAATGAGAAAATGACTGGGACTGTACTTTGTAAATTATCAGCATTTGTTAGTAAATCATACAGCAGTGCAGAAGCTGACTTGACTGATGAGACATGACTGAGATCACACACCCAACAATATCAGAGATCCATATATCAATTCCACTGTTATCTCGTAATATGTTACCCATGTTTATTGGCTTATTTGCTTAGTTTTATTACCAGTTCAGACTTTACTCCCATGAAAAAGTTTTTGAAGCCAATATACACATTTGTTCTTTGTAAAATTAGCAATTCCTGTGATTTTATATATCAGGATGAAGTCAGTGAGTAGTTGGCATTGGTGTCCTGTCTTCTGCCAACAGTCATTGTCGTCTTGACTTTTTTTCCTGATTAAACTCTAACTAGTTTGAATCATGACGCTGATGTTTTCCTCTCATTAAACCTGATACTTCAACTTCATACATTTAGATCATAGAGGAAAAGATAATCATTTTTTCATTGAGTTATGATTTAACTCTGTGTTTATCGATGTATTCATTAAGACAAAGTCAGCAGACCCACCATTTCCTGTAAGATGAACGACGGCGGCAGCTTGAACGTATCCGGAGAGCTGGTTTGCTCTGCAGAGCCTCAACCCTCACTGAAGTTTGAGTGGGGAGCTCGTGGAAACGTGCAGCTCGGCCCACAGCTGCAAATACCTCTGGGGGATGAACATGATGATGAAGTGTACAGTTGTAGTGTGAGCAACCAGCTGAGCAAGGAAACAACTACATTCACTGCAAAGGATTGTTACCCAGGTAAGATTTCAGCTGGACTCAATTTTAAAGTCGCCCACCATTCCAGATGTTTAAATAGACACTTTAGACTTTAGAGTTTATTCCATACCAGTGGTTACAGGAGAAGAAGATGAGACAGGAAAAGGAGTAGAAGTGTTTTCTTCACCTCATCAATGATATTAATATGAATAACATAAGTATTGTATTAATAGATCTTTTTTCAGCTTCAACGTGAATATACAGAATGAACAAGAGAGAAGATGTTGAGATTCTAGAATAATATGTCCAGTTTTACAGTACTGCTTGAATGTTGTTGGTACTGAATGTAATGTAATGCAAAGCTGCTTTAAATATAAACTTTGTGTTCTGTGCAGAAGGAAGTTCGTCTGCAGTACCGATCACCATTGCAGTCATCATTGTTCTTGTGTTGCTCCTCGGGTGTGTGGCCATACATTGTTTTAAACGACACAATAAAGGTAACAAATCTGAATAATTACACCTTAACCAGAAATCTTGATCTAAAAAAGGAGTACTAGTTGATATACTGACATACAGTAAATATACTCTGATGTATATGGATAGTTAACATTTAAACATAGTAATAAGTTATTATGATAAGTTGTATATGGGGCAAGATTCCCTCTCATCTAGAGATTAACAGCATGAAGTTAAGACTATATAGCTGCAGCATTATTTAACATTTTATTGACTCTTAATTATATACAACTAAAATATTCTGTTTTTCTGTCCTTATGCTCTCGGCTCCAGCATGTTTTGCAGAAGAAGACGATTTGGAAAAACAATCCCTATCTGGATGTAAAGAAAGTATGAACTTGTATGTTTGCTTCAACCAGCAATTGTTTGGCTTTGATTTGGCATAAAATACTTAGAAGTTGTTCATATTAAATGTCTGACAAACTGTATTTCAGTGATAATAATACCATTAATAAAATCATACTATTTATTGTGTTATAGATTATAATTTATTGAAACTATTATGAACTAAACCAGGAAGCATTATTTGTTTACTTTCCATGCTCTCGCTTCTTTTTTTTTACAGATGAAATGACTAAACAAGAGGAGATCCCAAATAAAGGTGACAGTAAAACCAGTTTTCATATTAACTTACACATTGCAGAAATAGTTTTATAAAGTAATGTGTGTGCTTTTCACTTTTTTAGGGCTTGTTGAAAGGGTGAAAAAACGTCTTGGATTGGAAGGTAACTTTTAGTTAACAAACATAAATGGTTTGCTAGAAGCTGTAACAATAACAACAACAACAACTGATGTTTATTTTCATTTGCAATAGACAAATTGTATTAACTCATTTCAGGCAGCAGATGTTTGTTGATGAAACAAACATCTTCTGTCTAACAGACATGATTGTTACACAGACACAATCAATCATAGGAGGCCTTTGACCGATATCTGCAGGAATATCTATTGCCTTACATTCCAATAATGTCGGTGTATTTTTAGCTTAAAGTCACATAAGAACTCTAAGATTATTTTTGTTTTTTTCACTATATTTTACATTTCAATCTGTTTCAGGTTCAAATAAGAGGGAAGGACAGAATGATGAAAAAAGGAGTCTCGTACACAGAGAATCAACTCTTCCCTCTAAGCAAAAACTTTTCCAAGGGAATAAATATAGAAGGACTAATACATTTCCTGACAAACAAAACGAAGCGACGGATTTGGACCATAAAGGTAAAAGCTGCAAAGAAATATGTTCATATGCAACATTAGGACAACCTGTGTTTAGTGCAAATTGATGAATAGACTCAGATGAACTCTTTTAGCTAATGATTAAATAACATACTCTCTACTTTCTGTTGGTTTCAGAGCCAGTGAAGGAGGCAGAAGCTCAGTCGACTCCTCGTGTTGAAGCTCCCCCGGCTGCTCAGGCACTTTCCCCTTTGACCAAAAGCTCTCTGAATACGGCCCCTAAAGACCCGGCTGGTGGACAAAAGGACGTCGCCAACTCAGGTCAGGTGACCGGAGACTCTGCCCAGAATGAAGTCGGAGAATCCGAATCAGGAGAAGGGAAAAGAAATGAATCAGACGACTCTGGCGAAGACAAACCGATGTCTAACGCTCCTGAACAGAGAGGTTCAAGGACGTCATTAGAGCCAGAAGAAAATAACACGAGCAAAGAGAGCCAGAAGGTAAATGTCGAACCTGTTCCTGAGGGTGAAGATACAAGTAAAACAAATGCAGGAGACCATGAAGAAACAGACACACAACAGCATCTGTATTCAGCAAACTCTGAGCAATTTCAGAGCCCAAGAACCAAACCAGACCACAGCATCACCGATGATGGTCCAGAGTCCTCAGACACTAAACCAGCACAACCAGAAGCTCCCCCGACTGCTCAGGCACTTTCCCCTTTGACCAAAAGCTCTCTGAATACGGCCCCTAAAGACCCGGCTGGTGGACTAAAGGACGTCGCCAACTCAGGTCAGGTGACCGGAGGCTCTGCCCAGAATAAAGTTTCAGAATCCGACTCATCAGGAGCAGGGAAAAGAAATGAATCAGACGACTCTGGTGAAGACAAACCGATGTCTACGCCGACGGATTTGGACCATGAAGGTAAAAGCTGCAAAGAAATATGTTTATATACTGTACCATTAGGACAACCTGTGTTTAGTGCAAATTGATGAATAGAATCAGATGAACTCTTTTAGTTAATGATTTAATAACATACTCTGTGTCATATAAAAAGTATTTTTTTATCTTATGCCTCAGCCAATTTAATCGAAATAAGTTTTGGTAATGATAATAATACAGTAATAATACAGTATAATTTTTGAGGTATTATACAGAAATTTGGGATCATTTTATGAAATGTCTTATACATTAGAATTGATTGAATCTATTATTAACTAAACTAGGAAGCATTAATCACTGTATTGTTTGAGTACTACTCATTGTTACCTTCACATGATGCTCTTTACTGGTATTTGTTTACTTTCCATGCTCTCGCTTCTTTTTTTTTTACAGATGAAATGACTAAACAAGAGGAGATCCCAAATAAAGGTGACAGTAAAACCAGTTTTTATATTAACTTACACATTGTAGAAATAGTTTTATAAAGTAATGTGTGTGCTTTTCACTTTTTTAGGGCTTGTTGAAAGGGTGAAAAAACGTCTTGGATTGGAAGGTAACTTTTAGTTAACAAACATAAATGGTTTGCTAGAAGCTGTAACAATAACAACAACAACAACAACTGATGTTTATTTTCATTTGCAATAGACAAATTGTATTAACTCATTTCAGGCAGCAGATGTTTGTTGATGAAACAAACATCTTCTGTCTAACAGACATGATTGTTACACAGACACAATCAATCATAGGAGGCCTTTGACCGATATCTGCAGGAATATCTATTGCCTTACATTCCAATAATGTCGGTGTATTTTTAGCTTAAAGTCACGTAAGAATTTTTTTGTTTTTTTCACTATATTTTACATTTCAATCTGTTTCAGGTTCAAATAAGAGGGAAGGTCAGAATAATGTAAAAAGGAGTCACGTACACAGAGAATCAACTCTTCCCTCTAAGCAAAAACTTTTCCAAGGGAATAAATATAGAAGGACTAATACATTTCCTGACAAACAAAACGAAGCGACGGATTTGGACCATGAAGGTAAAAGCTGCAAAGAAATATGTTCATATGCAACATTAGGACAACCTGTGTTTAGTGCAAATTGATGAATAGAATCAGATGAACTCTTTTAGCTAATGATTAAATAACATACTCTCTACTTTCTGTTGGTTTCAGAGCCAGTGAAGGAGGCAGAAGCTCAGTCGACTCCTCGTGTTGAAGCTCCCCCGGCTGCTCAGGCACTTTCCCCTTTGACCAAAAGCTCTCTGAATACGGCCCCTAAAGACCCGGCTGGTGGACTAAAGGACGTCGCCTACTCAGGTCAGGTGACCGGAGACTCTGCCCAGAATAAAGTTTCAGAATCCGACTCATCAGGAGCAGGGAAAAGAAATGAATCAGACGACTCTGGTGAAGACAAACCGATGTCTACGCCGACGGATTTGGACCATGAAGGTAAAAGCTGCAAAGAAATATGTTTATATGCTGTACCATTAGGACAACCTGTGTTTAGTGCAAATTGATGAATAGAATCAGATGAACTCTTTTAGTTAATGATTAAATAACATACTCTGTGTCATATAAAAAGTATTTTTTTTATCTTATGCCTCAGCCAATTTAATCGAAATAAGTTTTGGTAATGATAATAATACAGTAATAATACAGTATAATTTTTGAGGTATTATACAGAAATTTGGGATAATTTTAGGAAATGTCTTATACATTAGAATTGATTGAATCTATTATTAACTAAACTAGGAAGCATTAATCACTGTATTGTTTGAGTACTACTCATTGTTACCTTCACATGATGCTCTTTACTGGTATTTGTTTACTTTCCATGCTCTCGCTTCTTTTTTTTTTACAGATGAAATGACTAAACAAGAGGAGATCCCAAATAAAGGTGACAGTAAAACCAGTTTTTATATTAACTTACACATTGTAGAAATAGTTTTATAAAGTAATGTGTGTGCTTTTCACTTTTTTAGGGCTTGTTGAAAGGCTGAAAAAACGTCTTGGATTGGAAGGTAACTTTTAGTTAACAAACATAAATGGTTTGCTAGAAGCTGTAACAATAACAACAACAACAACAACTGATGTTTATTTTCATTTGCAATAGACAAATTGTATTAACTCATTTCAGGCAGCAGATGTTTGTTGATGAAACAAACATCTTCTGTCTAACAGACATGATTGTTACACAGACACAATCAATCATAGGAGGCCTTTGACCGATATCTGCAGGAATATCTATTGCCTTACATTCCAATAATGTCGGTGTATTTTTAGCTTAAAGTCACGTAAGAATTTTTTTGTTTTTTTCACTATATTTTACATTTCAATCTGTTTCAGGTTCAAATAAGAGGGAAGGTCAGAATAATGTAAAAAGGAGTCACGTACACAGAGAATCAACTCTTCCCTCTAAGCAAAAACTTTTCCAAGGGAATAAATATAGAAGGACTAATACATTTCCTGACAAACAAAACGAAGCGACGGATTTGGACCATAAAGGTAAAAGCTGCAAAGAAATATGTTCATATGCAACATTAGGACAACCTGTGTTTAGTGCAAATTGATGAATAGAATCAGATGAACTCTTTTAGTTAATGATTAAATAACATACTCTGTGTCATATAAAAAGTATTTTTTTTATCTTATGCCTCAGCCAATTTAATCAAAATAAGTTTTGGTAATGATAATAATACAGTATACTTTTTGGGGTATTATACAGAAATTTGGGATAATTTTAGGAAATGTCTTATACATAAGAATTAATTGAATCTCTTATGAACTAAACTAGGAAGCATTAATCACTGTATTGTTTGAGTACTACTCATTGTTACCTTCACATGATGCTCTTTACTGGTGTGCTTTGACTGCTTCTGTGTGGTTTAGTCTCCTAAAGCATTCTTTTACTGTAATTTCCATCCATCCATTGTCAAACCTCTTATCCTGCACAGAGGGTCGCAGGGGGGCTGGAGTCTATCCCAGCCTAATTCGGGCGGGAGACAGGGTTCACCCTGGACTGGTCGCCAGCCAAACGCAGTACTTTAATTTCCCTTTTCCGTTTTTGTTTGTTCACAAAAGGCAAAGATGATCATCAGGGAGGAGATGCAGATGCAGTCACGCCCAAAGAGCCTCCACAGGAAAAAGAGCCACTGATCAACCAATCAGACCGTGTGGAGGAGAATGACCCAGAACCTGCTGGTGTGTCAGACCACGCCAGTGAGGACAAGAAGTCTAGTCCTGAATCTCCTGAACATCCAGGTTTGGATACTACAGTAACTCAGCTGCATTACAAAGGTCACTGGCAAAAACACTTACATTAAGGGGGAATTTAATAAAAGCTAAATGTTATTTAACACCAGCAGCTGTTTTATTGAAAAAATACTATAAATGAAAGGGCAATGAAATTGGGCAAAATATGTACACAACCATTTTTCTACAGTAGAGCAGAGTAGCGTCCGTGCAACTCTGGATAAAACACCCGAGTTGGGGTTCTAGCAAATCTGTTCATAACAGCCCAGCACTGTACCCAATGAGCATCATGGATTTTACTACTTATTTTTAACGTGCTCCTGACTAGAGGACTAGACTTTGTACTGTGTGCCTTATATTTCTGTATTATGTTATTGTATTTTGATACAGTGCATCAAATGGTGACATCTATGTTCAAACTGTACACGTTCCCTTATAAATTAAGTAAATATTAATCTTAACAATGATCTTGAAACAGAAACATGTAAATAAAGTGTTATTCCCTTGCTCATGGAGAAGAGATTGTCCTCAATCAATGAATAAGAATGTTTAAATACATTCGTGGGTCACTTGAGAAACGACTTGCAGCTCTCCTCAGTTTTCTTATTCATAATCTTATCAAAAGACTGATTCATTTTGAAACCAGTGCACTTTGGAATTTTATCCTTTTCAAAATTCTAAGTAGTCATGTGCAGTTCTCCCGCTTTTTAAAACCTGTTTTTCTGTTGGTTTCAGAGCCATTGAAGGAGGCAGAAGCTCAGTCGACTCCTCGTGTTGAAGCTCCCCCGGCTGCTCAGGCACTTTCCCCTTTGACCGAAAGCTCTCTGAATACGGCCCCTAAAGACCCGGCTGAACAAAAGGACGTCATCAACTCAGGTCAGGTGACCGGAGACTCTGCCCAGAATGAAGTCGGAGGATCCGAATCAGGAGAAGGGAAAAGAAATGAATCAGAGGACTCTACCGATCATAAACAGAGAGGTTCAACGGCATCCATAGAGACAGATGTCCACCTTTCACAAGGAGAAAATAACACAAGCAAAGAGAGCCAGACGGTAAATGTCAAACCTGTTTCTGGAGATGAAGATGAAAGTACAACAAATGCAGGAGACCATGAAGAAACAGACACACAACAGCATCTGAATTCAGCAAACTCTGAGCAAACTCAGAGCCCAAGAACCAAACCAGACCACAGCAACACTGATGCTGGTCCAGTGTCCTCAGACACTAAACCAGCACAACCAGACGAAGAAGAAGAGCACGAGACCTCCACTGACTCACAGGACACGGAGGGGCAGTCAGATGAAGGCGAGAAAAAAATTGTTGAAGATAAAAGTAAAACAAATGCAGGAGAACATGAAGAAACAGACACACAACAGCATCTGAATTCAGCAAACTCTGAGCAAACTCAGAGCCCAAGAACCAAACCAGACCACAGCAACACTGATGCTGGTCCAGTGTCCTCAGACACTAAACCAGCACAACCAGACGAAGAAGAAGAGCACGAGACCTCCACTGACTCACAGGACCCGGAGGGGCAGTCAGATGAAGGCGAGAAAAAAATTGTTGAAGATAAAAGTAAAACAAATGCAGGAGAACATGAAGAAACAGACACACAACAGCATCTGAATTCAGCAAACTCTGAGCAAACTCAGAGCCCAAGAACCAAACCAGACCACAGCAACACTGATGCTGGTCCAGTGTCCTCAGACACTAAACCAGCACAACCAGACGAAGAAGAAGAGCACGAGACCTCCACTGACTCACAGGACACGGAGGGACAGTCAGATGAAGGCGAGGACAAAACTGTTGAAGATAGAAATGAGGCCTAGTGTGGCTCTAAGGGAGAAAGGCAATGACAGATGCAGTGAGGATAAAGCAGGACAAAAGGAACATGAAGGTGTGTCGGTGGCTTTTATGCAACTTGGAGAACATGGTGAGATTTACGAAGGAAGCAGATGGTGAAAGTGAAGCTTTAAATAAAACAGGGCAAGAATAAGTCAACTCAACACAAATGCTGTCATTGAAACCAGCAAAACAAGAATTTAAACTAGAAGGCTGAAAACACACACAGAGCAGAGATCACATCTTTACACGAAGCCACAGAGAGTCTCAGCTCAGAGTGAGATGAACCTGAAAGGAAGCGACGAGGACCAGAAACTCCAACAAGAAAAGGATTGTTTCTACTTTTCCCTCAAGATTTCTCCAGCTCTTCTTTTTAACTCCTTAGCTTCTTCTAATAATATTGACGTTATATGCTGTAGGAGCCATACATTGGGTTTGATTATTCTTTTGTATCATTTCTTCTTTCTTTCTACATTGTTTGTATGTGCGCGTGTGGTGTGACGTCATTTGTATCTACGACACCGTAAGGGGGTGTGTTGTGTACATTAGCGTGTGTCTGTTCACCTGTGGGGCTCGGCGGGTTGTTTGGAGCATGGCTGCAGGGTGAGCATGGGGAACAAACTTTCTTCACCGTCACTGGAGTAATTATTGTCACTAACGTCACTACGAAGTTTTATGTGCTGTTGATCCTCTCTTGACTGATGAAAGGCATCTATCAATGTAAGTGATTGGCGTGTATTCTTTCTGCTGGTGAAACGGAGTAATAAACATCAGATGAAATACTTCAGTGCGACGCGTCTTGAGTATAACCTCCTCATGTCTTGGATAGTTTTTGTTGTGTATAAGTTGCTACATATGCCTGAATAACAGCTACGTTGTTACTTTTTTATGGTTTTCTACTGAACTAAGCAATTACAAATATGAATGTAGGTCTAACTTATCAAATTAGGAGCGTTATTCTGTCATTTTGTGACTTTATGAAAAGGAAGACTTTTTAAAATGTATCAGTTCTCCAATTTTACAAACTTCAATCCGTACAACATGAGACATCCTTCGTCCCAGGATCCTCACATAGGTACACGAAAAACTCCCCAAAATACATCTATTGTAAGCCGAGTTTTCGTCCAGTGACTATGTTATGAAAACACTTATTAAGCTTTTTAAGAAACAAAATGCTTCATTGAAGATGTTGGATCACATTAAAAATCATTTTCATCGAGTTCATGAAGGACCAACGAAGATTGGTTCTGTACTCATAATGGTACAAGAAACACACCTTTCTATCTACAATCAAAATAATGGATCATTGTGACATGTATGTTCTCCCGTGTATTTTGAAATGTTGTTTGCTCTCCTTTATTTTGTATTGACACCAGATTGTTTATGCTAATTCATTGTGATGTGAATGACACTACAGCTGTAATGCTTTTGTATTTTGTTTTCATTTTTCTTGCTGATGATGGATTTTTGAAAATGTCTTATTGCACTAATTTATATAAGAAATTCTATTGTGGGGGGCTTATTTCCAGTTATTTGTCTTTTTGTTGAAAACGATGAAAACCAATAATTTTCCAAATAAATATTGCAGAATTATTGCTAAAATGATGAAATAAAGTACATTATTACAGGCTGATGTTTTTGACAGCTTCGCACGGTAAATCTATAACTAAGAAATACTGAGAGTGCATCAGCAGATGCTGAGATTTGTGGTAGATGTAAGAATGTGTTGTATCAGCAGGGGGCAGTGTTTATTTGCTCTTACTCGTCATGAACTGATTAGACATCAGAAATGAGTTTTTATAACCCTCTTAGCACTGAAACGCTTGGAGAACATTATCAGCTATAAAGGCAAGTTTAAGTAATACACAGTTGAAAAATATCCTGGTTAGTTGTGGCCCGACAGCAATTAATTCCAGAAAAATTATGAAGTCTAAAACGCACCGATATGTGATGTTGCCTTTATGAGGTCCGATTAAATGCAGCGTGTGGGACTTTGTTGCAATTCTGCATAATTAAAGGTGAATTTAGTGAAACGCTGCCACAGTAAATGCCTCAAAAATGCAGGTTCACTGCTGAAGGACAAGCTGGTGTAGATTTCTTAAGACACTGGTTGTGCCCTGAGAGAAAGTCATGCATGATTAGTTTAACCTCTGAGTCACATTGAAGTCTGTGATCTGCTACCACCTGACCTGTGGGTTCACGGCACAAGCAGAGAATGAACACTATCATATTTCTGTGGTCATAACGAATACCGAGGGGATGTCGGAGTATTGAATTATTTGTAGGGATGGAGGCTGTGCCTCCTCCGACGGAGGGTCACAATGTGGTTCCACTGAGACATTTCTGACATGCTGATGGCAGCGGGGAGGCTCCCATGCTCCCTCACAGCCTTCCAGCCGAGCGACTGTTTCAACATCGCCAACTTGTTTTTGCATAAAACCATTTCATCCTGTGATGATTGTGTCCCTTCACATTCATCCCTAATTACACTGCTCCCTTCACATTGTTTACGTCCTTTTTGCCTTGTTTGCAATAGGAGAGAAGAGAGAAGGGAAGAATGGGCCCCCTCCAGAATGGCCTTTTCCTTTTTTTATACCAATGTTGATTAGCAAGCTGGGTTGTTTAAATTGCCTCCTGGAGGGCTGACGTGAAATCGAACAATATCCTCTGGCTTTAGCGACTAGCCCCACAGCTTTACATTGGTTTTTATGCAGAGTTAGAACAGACCTTGGCACTGCTCCGCTGTGGAAGCGGAGCCCGGGGAGGCCGGATCGGGGCAGGTCAGGAGAAATCAATTAATGAGTTCTGTGAAAGTTCTTGGCTGTCCTTTTCTTTTTTTCCCTGCCAAACTTTACTATGCAACCTGGGTACCCGCCACAATTACATGGATCAATTGTTATATGTGGTTGAGACGTTACAATGTAATAATATTCCTTTCCTGATACCTCTATTAAGGCCTGGTTTGTCTTTGAACCCTTTTATGAGAAGTGACATTAGACCGTTGTTTGTCATGCTGTTATTTTACTACTACAAAGTTCCTTTCTTGGGCGAAACTCAGTCTCAGTGTTTCCGAAGCAGAAAGATGATTATACCCATGGGAGCAACCAACACAGTGGAAACATTTATTACTACTTATATATCTATGAATACAAATGGGACAAATAAATAGGTGCAGGCTAGAAGATTGGACGCTGTTTGACTGTCCCCAACTAGAAATGATCTCACTAGTCAGAAATAATTCAAATAACTACAAACGAGTTCAGCTTCCTTGAAGTCTTATAAACAAAGTCCGTGCTCAGTTCATTGTTGAGATTGATCCATCTTTAATTTTGTCGTCGCTCCACTAATGAGGAATTAAATTCGAAGATGTTATCGACTGGTTCGACTGGTTGTGTTTGAACAGCAGATCGGTTCATCAACCGCTGCCGTGTTTACATCCACTGACCACAGAATAAACACGGGTCAGCAGACCTGCCGGCTGAATGAAGGTGTGCGCGGCGGCACACTTGATTCCTTAACATCTGGACAGCTGAAAGCTAATTAGAGAGTCTCGGGCACATCTTTGTTTACGACTATGACCACTTCTTTGTGCCTGTAAACTTTCTCTGTCACACAACATCTTTGCAATAATTTCCCCCCTGAAACATCAATTGTTTAGCCAATAAGTAAATATTTTCTTCTGCTTGGCCAGGAAAGATCTCAGAGTATTTGTTTTTTGTCGGTGAAGTTTTTCCTGGGCTTTTGCTTTGGTGACGGCTCCCATTTGTATTTATCTAAACAGTTTAGCTAAGCATGAAACCGGGACAAACTACAGACTAGTATAATGTAGTAATGTAATGATGTCCAATCAATAGTTTGGTGCTCCTGTATCCGAATGAATCCCCTGACCTTTCTTTATAGCACCACTATCAGAAAAACCTTCATCATTTAACATTTATCACTTTCCTTCCCGTCTCAGCGTGTGTTTAATACTAAATTAGTAAGAACTTCCATGCTGATGTTCACATTTATCCCAAAGCACTATTTTCCTGTGTAGTTACAGACACAACAAGCCGATATGTGGACTGTGTTCTTATGCTATTTGTCAATGAAATCCGTCATTTGAAATTGCGAAAGGTCTCAGAGAGCGAGGAGTGTTTTGAATGGCATAATATAGATCCATCTCTATTTCACTTACAATGTCCCCTACCAGTGAGAACCAGCCTGTTTTAACGCTTGTCTTAAACAACCAGCACTGCATGACGCAAAGATAAGATCTGCAGTTGTTGGACACTCTTCCCTTTGTATGAGCAGACCTGTCAAAAAACTAATCTGTTACCATTTCTTTGAAGTATGCGTTACCCGTTTCAACAATTATATGAGCACCATAGACAGTCTCTATAAGAACCAGCACAGGAAATCACTTGTTTTTTGTTTTGTGTGTTCCTCAACCTTCTTTTCTCACTAGCTTAGTCACCCAGTTTAGAGCTTTGTCAGTTCTTTATTTGAACAAGCTGGCCGTCAACGGGCCACGCTGCGGAACCTGACACAATTCTCTTGTGGTCGAATGGAAACGACATGCAGCACAACGCCTGCATTGTCTGATGTGAAGATTAAAGCCAATCAAAACCAAATTAATTCTCCTCAACTCTGAGCCGGTGGATGCCGGGACCACCAGAGGGGAACAGTTTGCTCGGCTATGTCATCAGAATCATTATCACTGATCTCAGTCTCCCCCTCTCCTCCTCTGAGTGTTTCACTGAAACTTCTCATGGCCGACAGTCGCTTCTCATCACTTGTCTTTGCCAGAATAACACAATGCATTCGAGTGCAAAGAGATTCTCTGGCTTTGAATCCACACGCCTCTACTCGACTCCAATAATAATCTTCACACCAAAAAGATGACGGTCAGCCACATTCCTCGAGCCTCCATTAGTGTGTTTATCGAATGAATGCATTTATACCGGACATTGGTTTATTTATTTTTTCATCTGGCTTACTGATTGATCGTTATTGAAGAATTGACCAAATTCCATTTTGAGGTGCTGTAAAAAGGAATAAAATCAGTCAGGCTTGAATAATAAAGCTCAACTTGTTTCTTTTAGTAAAATAGATCCAGAATTTTGGGGACAAGTGTGGCTTTTTAACATCTTCATGAAAATGCGATGTTACCAAAACAACATGTAGAACACTCTGCCCGGCTCTGTTGTGGTCGATGCAGAGCCTGGATACGTCCAAATGCGCTCCATATGTCTGGCAACGCCGCTGACCCCTCTTTCTCAAACACTGCCAGGGTTTGACGCCGGACCAATGTGCGGTGACGTGTTTGTTTTATTTTACCCGCGTATCACAGCAGTAAAAATACCAGTGAAACCTAACAAGGAGAAATAGAACGACTACTGTGTAATTTTCTAGTGGATAAACCTTGCCACTGATTCCAATGGGATTCCCTGGGGGGAGGGGTTCTATATAGGTATATGGGGGGAAAGAAAAACTCTTGCTGCTAGAGCTCAACGTGTGAGACAGAAAGTTAGTGCACGTGAAGGCGAGTGTATTGTTCTATAATTCATCATTTGTTTCACTTCTGTTTCCCCCGATCTGCCTGTTGGGGAACCGCCACGGACCGTGTTGGTGGCACCTGGCATACGGAGGAGCGGCATGTATGTCATTGTACAAGCTCATTGCACATGTGTTTATCTGCACATGAAAACATGTCCACTTTTGTGTGCTGATTCCTGCCTTCACCCGCGTGTAGTCGGGGATCTGGCCGGTTCCTCTCCGCCCACGGTGGGCCTCTCTCAGCCAGAT